AGCAGGGTCAAATCAGGTCAGTACTTCGATGAGAAACCTCCATCTCCTGAAAGAAAACCCAAGGTGCTTCAGGAAGTGGTGTGATGGTAAATCCATATGCATTTTCCTCATTGATTCAAAATTGAATGAGTGCCCCAGCTTGATGAGAGGGTCATTATATACCTAGAAGTGCTGATTTTGGAATGAGACAAAAATCAAAAAGGTGTGAACATTTGTGCCTCAGAGAAGAATCCCATGCTGCTTCTCCTAGATATTGAGATGTTAGTTCTGGGATCCAGGCCAGACAAAATTCTCTCAAGCAATTATATTCTGCCCCTAAATTCCCCCAATAATTTTGATTGGATGCCACATTTTTCTTCACTTCCTTCCTTAAACTTCTGCATAGTGCTGTTGTGCACTGCAAAACAGCTGACAATCCTATCCCAGAGATGGTTACATTTCTGGGCTAGAGAAAGCGATTCTTTATTTGTGCAGTGTTTTAGGATCCTGCAGGATGAAGGGAGCTAGAATACTGAAAGTTTCATTAAGCAAAGAAGCCCCCACACCACTGGATGGAAACTGAAGCTTGCAACCCTGACTGGCTCTTCCTAGAGCAGGTGCCTTCAGAAGATGCAGATAACTGAGATGACAAGGTCTCCCTTATAAAATACATTTTTACAGTCAGTGTAATATGCAGTTTCTTCTAGAAAGAGTCTGGGCACCTATGCCTCCATAACTCAGCTCATGAACAAACTCAAGTGGTTGCATCAGTTTTAAGTCTTAAAGTTGGGTCTCTCCAATAACGATCAGCTAAGACCATCTCAATTACAGCCTATTTTTAATGAAGAGCTGTGAGCCATTTAGAAGCCACAAGCCATAGCTAGCCCATATGACTGAAACAAAAGGCAAAACAAAAATAAATCTCTGAGCTCTTTCAATGCCCAGTGTATGAGCATGTCCACAATACAGTTATGCAGCATCTATGCTGTTCTTATAACCTCCAGGACTTAAAACAACAATTGAGTAGCCGAAGAATTTTGAGCACTCTCTGCTGCTAGGATTCTCAAGGCCTATCATTTACCAAAAGAGACCTCATGGATTTGGGTTCTGGGGAGCCCACATCGATATTATCTCCCCAGCTACATCTAAGAAGAATAATGGTTTCTAACCTTTAGAAAGAGGATGAGACCTGTGCTGGCATGGAAAGATTAATATTGCCACCAACACAAAGAATTAGGGAGGCCTTTCTCTGCCCTGGAAGGGAAAACACAGTTATCAGATACAACCTATATGGAGAATTCATTGGAGAAATGCCACTAAAGATAATAAATAGACAGGTCTGATCGATTCCACCCTTCTAGAAATGCCATCCTTCCCAGGGCACCATCTAAACTGCAGTGCTCCCTTTCCAGGGAAAGCCATAGAAAAAAGAGCCTTTAAAGGAACTCTATTTGCTGGCTTTACTGCCTCACATCATTTTCTTTCTGTTGTCAGGGACTGTACATTAATATTAACCCTGTTGTAGAAGGACCCAGAAGAGGCAAGGTGAAAAAGGAGAACAAGACACTGGGAAAACAAATGGGCCCTGTATGATAACAAAAAGTAGATCAGCATCCTCAGGATCAGGGGCAACTGCTTGGTAGAGGCATAGGCATGGGGGAAGGCGACAGAAAATACTGAGTTCTGGGAATGCCTCTGGATCCCCTAGGAAGCAGTATGGCTCCTGCTTAAGCTGTCTTTCCTGGGAAACTCTTAATTCATGTTTACAGTCAAGCAAATAGAACAAAACAGTTTATTTGTGGGGAAGTATCTGAGAGGGTGGTTAGTCCAACCCTGGGGATGCAGCAGGAAGTGGGATAACCTCAAAGCCAGGCTCAGCACAGAGGATGTAAGGGGCATTAGTTTCCACACAAACCAGTCAAAGTAAACTACAGACAAGGGTTAAGGGAGAAAGGGGGGAGGGAAGAGAGGCAGACACAGAAGAAGTGCCTTAGGTCTCTCTATTGAGTTGTTGATATTTTTGGAGTTGCTGCTAAAGTGCTACTTCACCAAGAAAAATTCCCATCAGTTCCAAGTCTCACTGATTCTGAAAGGAGTCAAAACTAACAGAGAAAAGCTTAGACCTAGAGCTGGCTGGCTTTGCAGGTGGCTGAATACCAGGTGCCAGTTGTAGCAGGCAAACTGAGTTGCACTAAGGCTCTGAAGCAAGAATCTAGGCCTTCCCAGAACTAAGCAACAAAACTGAACAGAGCGCCTTCTGAGGCACTGGGAGATGCGAGTGCTGTGACTGGTGAGCTAGGTGAGCAAGGCACAACAGTTTCCTTATAAGGAATGTGTTTAGTAGGGTTGTGTGAAATGGCACCATTCCCTTTCAACGGAACGTTTCGTTTGGATTGAAAACAGCTGTTCCGTTTTGTTGTCGAAACAGTTTTACTCTTTTGACTCTGTTTCAAAGTTTCACCCATAGGCTATAATGGGGAAGCTCAAAACAGCCTACAACTTTGCCGTTTCTGGCCTGATTTGAATGAAACTTGCAGGAATGGTAGCCTCTGCTGAGGCTACAAAGCCTGTCAAGTTTCAGGGACATAGGTGCAGGGGTTTCAGGGAAACTGCACCTTAAGCTGCTGACAAGCAAAACTCGTGACATGGGTGACACTGTGTGTGTGTTAAGGCGCAGCAGGGTGAAAGCTGCAGGCCTGCTAGGCCCTGCTACAGCCAGGAAGCCTGCCAGCTGTCAAGGAAATAGGTGCGGGGGGAGTCTGGGTTCTGGGGTCCTGCACCTCTAGCTGCTGACAGGCAAAACTCATGACATGGGTGGGTGACACTGTGTGTTAAGGTGCGCCTTCACTCAACTGACACCAATGCAGAAAGCAGGGAAGCTCAAACAATGCTGCCTTTTATGTAGTTTTTCCATCCCACCCGCAAAGCACTGGGATTGGAAGGGACCTTAGAAAAAAGCTTGACAGTCACTGGCCAGTCACACAGTCAATAATGAGAGCACTCCTCCCCTGCCTTCCTCCCTCTTCTCCCTCCCCCTCCTTACTTTAGTTCTGGTTCCCTGCAGGCAAGCCCAGCTTGAGCTTCGAAACTTGAAACATTTAAAAAATTTCAAAATGTTTCGATTTGCCTCATTTCGTTTCAAGGCTGTTTTGAAACTCTGTTTCATTTTGATTCTGCTATTTTGAGCTCGAAACGAGTCGAAACAATGTTGAAATGAAACTGCTGGCAAAATTTCACATGGCCCTAGTGCTTAGCACAGAGCCAGGGGATTGGACAATTTGGGATGAGAAAGTTACAAAAGTAATGAACAAAGGAATAGGTGTGTTAGCATGCAGTGGCTCTGGCAGGACAGACACAGCTGCTGTCCCCCCTGCTCAAACAGTGGGGGGGCCAGAAACAAGCATCACACACACCCAGTGGAAGATCCAAGGCCTGGTACCCCCAAAGGTCACCACTGAAATGTCTAAGAAGCCACTTGCCAGGTCATATTATGGGGAGGAAACCTGTAATATTGTCTAGGAGTTACTAACAAAGTCTACTTGATACCATATCAGATGAGAAACCGTGTCGATCCTTGGGGGGTCTCTGGCAAAAAGAATCCTATTGGTAATTCCAGTCCCCTCCCTCCCCGATTGCCCTGTCAGCACCCACATTCTACACTGGACAACACCAATTCTACAAGGCACGCCAATGCTCCTGATGGGACTTAAACACAGAGGTTCCTGACTAGGGGGTCTTGCCCATCTACTCAGGGTTAGACAATCACTATATCTGGGGTCAGGAACGAATTTTGCCTCATGGTCAGACCAGTAGAGACTGTGGAGGGTCTCTGCCTCCTCCTGTAGCTGGGCATGTGGCCCTGTTCTTTGACTCTCTCAAGTGTATTTTAACAACCTTGCTGCAGCAGAGCATTAGCACTGTGGTCCCTTATTTAATCTGTACCAGGTTAGGGTGTTATACCTTGTGGCTGTGCTTGGGGTTGACCATGTAGTTTTGCTAATAGGTTAGACAACTAATTTGTATAGGATGGTTTGGATAGTGATGATCCTCCCTCATAGAAAAGGTTGAATTAGATAATCTTGGGTGGTCCCTTCCAGCCCTACTTTTTTATGAAAAGAAGTGGTGAAAACTGCAGTGCTGCCACACTCCAAGGCTTAGTGGAAGAACCCTACTGTCAACAGGGTCATGTCTGTGCTCAGTTACCCTGTTCTTAATACTTAAGCACATAGGATACAAAAGGATGCCCACCTTTTGGTGGCCTTTGTTACCTGCATAGTTGAGTAGAAGACTTAACTGAATTCAGAATCATCTACTGCTCTGAGACTCATGTCTTTTGTATTTGCAGAAAGCAGCTAAGAGCAGGAGGCCCACCTCAGGGAAGGCTAAGAAGCAGCCATTGGAAAGCAGGAGAAGGCATGCATTGGTACCAGCCGCCGCTTTCTGGAGCTGTTCCCAGCCTCCCCTTCCAGTGAGTTCTCAAATCCCTTTGCCAACACACAGGTCTGTGTAGAGCCTCAGCTAAAGATAAGCTTTGCCGCCGCCATGTGTTGCAGTCACACACATGCAGACTCACCAGCACTCATACCCAGACACATAAATACATTCTCCCACGGATAGAAAATAGTAATGAACTGAGCCATCTAGTCCAGTGACCAGTACCAGGTGTTTTACAAAAAGGGTGCAATCTCACTCAGTCAACCTTCCCAAAGTCATCAGTGGGCCAGGTAATGTTAGGGCACACAACATTCTGCTGGCTTCCTCCAGTTCATCTTAAATCCATCACCCTTCCCATTACAGTACCCTGATGGGCAACGGTAACTCTGGGCACATTCCCTTCGTAGTGCAGTACGATTGTGCAAGAACCCAATACAAGTTTTTCTCTGCCATTACACACTGTATGTAGGATCGAAAGTTCCTTCAAAGCACTGATGTACTGGAAATAGCAAATAATACTCTAACACTAAGAAGAACAAAACAACATCAACAGCCCCAAGATGTTAAGATGCCTTTATGATACTTACCAAAGCAGCTGCTACGGTGTGGAAGAAAAGTTTTACAGGCTGTGGCAATGGCCAGTTCAGCAGAAATTATAGTCTTAATAATCAGGTCCTCCACATTGGCCATCAGTGCTACATGGGGAGAAAAAGAATGTGAAGCCAGGGATAAAAACTAGAAGAATATGGGTATGTATATATGCAATTGTCCATGTGAAACCACATAGGCATTATTGCTTTGCACCCATGTAAATACCCATAAACAAAAGATCATGAGTATATACATGCACAAGAATCCTAGTGCAGAAGTGCTCACAAGTGAATGTTCACTGGAGCGTGTGCATCTAAAAAACAGGGGCAGGAGCACATTGCAGGCACAACACCGAAAGTTAGCTGGAGTCTGATCACCACCCACAGAGCACTGCAAAGGATTAAACAAACAAGAGATATAAACCCTCATGTTTCAGGGCACAAGCCAAAAAGCTTTGAAAGAAACATTCCTTATGGCTAGGTTATTTCATAGCTGCCTTCTATAATGTTGCATCATCCTCTAAATCATTTGGTACTGGCCATTGCATTAGACATTCCATTTTAGTAATACAATTATTTTCCATACATGAGAGAATGCATGCATGAGCCTGGATAAGAACAGATGAATTAGCAACTATGCAATAGGAGGCATTATTGTGCACACAGAGAAGTGGCAAACATTGTTATACACTTGCAAGAACACACAAAAATTGCCTTCCCACACTGGACCAGCACTCTTTGTTCAGCATTGTCAGACAGAAAGTGACCAGAACCAGATGCAGCAGAGAAAGATGCAGGGACCATCATAATAGACAATTATGAAAACAACCTACTTATGTTTCTCACTGACTTGCCTATGTTGGATTTATATCCCTTACACATTAGATACAACAAGAACATAGATATGTAAATGTTGTGTGCAACTGATGGAACATGTAACTTGTAGTAAGACCAAGTGACTATGTAGCCATGCATACATATGATGGGGGAAAGGATACTTCTATTTGAAAGCCAGATTCAAACCCTTTCCTCCATCATCTAATTGTTCCCTGGCAACATACAGGATGGACATATTAACACTAACAGCTGAGGGCTTCATATCACAGGTAAATTAATCCACTAAGAAAGGATTATACCTGGATTCTGCCCTGCTGATGCATTTACTCCCAGCAGACCTGGCAAAAGTGTGGAAGAGGGATCTACTTTACATGAACAATCAGGCTTCAATGAAAACATTCAGCAAAAACCCGAGGCATGAAAACGTGATACCACATCCAAGAGTTATTCAAAATGGTACAGTTCTCCAGAGGCAGATCACCCATCAGATTGGACAGGCCATGGGAGTAGTAGAGGGAGTGAAGCATTTAAGATGATGCCAGGAGAAATGGGATGACCTTCAGGAAGGGGAAGTAAGTACAGGTAAAATATTAAGAAAAAAAACCATGGCAGAGACATAGGTTGTTCAATATCATTTCCCGTAAGGGAAGGTAAAATCTTATTACTGGAAAGATGGAGAACAACGGGCTGGATATAGCCACAGAAGATAATGCGTAAGGAAGAATCCTGCCCTCCATCCTGAGATAGAATGGAACAGGACCTACAAGGGCTTTTCCCCAGCTTCTATCTGGGTTCTTTGTTGGTGACAGAACAAGGAAAGAACCAAAAAGGATCACTACTGACCTGCTGTGTCTCTTCCTTCTTGTTTCAGGTACCTCAGCATTGCACTCATGCTCCATTTGTTTCCATAATCCTCTACCTCAGGGTCATCACAGCTAAAATAAACCAAAGAAGGCCTCACTTCGCTGGCTTATGCCTCAGAATCACCGCTCTAATCTTAGATGCGCTGGTGAAAAATTTGGCCCCCATTTTAGTGTGAATTTGGTTCCCTTCCCAAACACTACCTCCTCATCTCCCAGGTATATCCAAGTACCTGACATAGTCTCCACTCTTCTTATTGACACTGTAATTGGTCAGATGCATGAACTGGTTTTTAATGTTCTTGGATCCCTGGTCATATCTCACCGTTGCAAACCTATGAGCAGAGAAAATATTTAAACCAGATTAAGCAGCTTGGTAGATGAAGCCTACTAGGCAGATCACTCAATCACTGCAGCTAAAGAAAGGAAAACCTAGTTATGTCTGATGCAGTGCAACCCCCTGAAAGTTCAATCACAGTCTGATCCCCAGGGCTGTGTCCCCTTTTGCCTTTAGAACTTCCCACAGAAGCAGCTCCAGTTCCTTCTGAGAGATTATTTTGCAGCCCACACAGCACCTCTCACAATCAGGAAGTTTTCCTCAGTAGCTTAATTTGGGAACTCTGAGTCCATCCTGGCAGTTACCAGTCACAGCCCTTAAACTCTCTCCATCCCTGGGTTGCTGAAGAACGTGTTAATAATGACTCCATAGGCAAAGTTAAAATTCTGCACTCAAAACCAGAAATCCATATGGAGGCCATTAACTTCTTCCAGTGTGACAACACCTCTTTTAGCTCTACCCTGAGATCCAGGAAGAGGAAAAAAGAAGAAAAATTAAGGAAAAGAGGGTCTGGAGAAAATAGAGAGCTTTGGACAGCAAGGGGGCCCCTTCTCACGTGACCAGGACACACAGCCCAGCTCTTCCTTGTTGTGTGCACTGTTTAGGCAAAGCAGGTGGCCCACCCCTCCTTCCTGGGACACCTCCCCCTACCCTGCCCCCAGTGAATGGAGAAGGGAGAGGGACCCCATAGACCTCTGCTACTGGGGGGGGGTGGACTGTATGCTAACCCCTTGCAGGCTCCCAAGACAGCCTTGACTTAGGCTGTTACCTTAGAAACATAAAGGATCCCCTTTGGGCAGGGGGCTGGACTCGATGATCTTCTGAGGTCCCTTCCAGCCCTAATGTCTATGAAATCTATGAAACCCTGGTGTGCACCAAAGAGAACTCTATACAGCCCAGGGCCATTGGCAGGGGAGGGGCATTTTAATAGTAGAGGCAGACCCTCAGGAAACTCATGGGTGGAATGTACAAATGCAACAAATCCAAGCTACGGTACCAAAAAGTGCATCCCTCATTTATTGATGGTCATATTCACCTGTTATTTTCCATAAATGAAAGTTTCTCCTTCAGTAAAGGCCAAAGCATACAAGTCGGCAGCCAAGAATCCCACCATTTTCAAAGTGCTGATTATGGCATTTCCCCTCCGGCCTTTTCAGGTGCCGTTACCAAAAACTGGAAGTTTAATTATATTCTCATAAGCCAGTCCTTCTATTACCTTCAACGTTGTACCCAAGTCTCTTTCTAGTCACGAAGTTGCCTAAGCATGAATACACATTCAAGGATAGTAGCCCTAGAATCAAAAAGCAACTATTCTCTCATCTCTTATTGCAACTCTTATGTATAAAGCCTCCCAAGAAAGAGGTACAATGGCCTTCTTGGTAGCCATATCAGCGTAAGAATTACGAGCGCATCCAGAGCCTCAGACTTCCCATAAGAAACACCGAAATCTGAAAGCCAAAACCAGCAACATGGGGGCTATGGAGCAAGACACCAACAAAAATAGAAACAAGAACGCAAATCTAGTTATCAGTACACTACAAACAGCATAAGAGATAAGATCAAGACTGAAAACAACCTCTCACACTGATCTTTGATTTTTTTTAAATGAATGGACAAATCTTAACCCAGGGTTTTGAAGCTTGCCATTGGGTGGAGAGAGCAATGCAATCACCACAAAGTTCCTGTTTCCCCATACACCCCATAATCAGTTTTATAACATTGCCCTGTGCTGTCACAGGTTGCCCTCCTTAGTAATTTCAACCCCCAGCTTTTTTTTTTTTTTTAAATAAAACAACAACTCTTTTCAGCATCATCTTTCTCCAACGATCATCACCATTCACTGTCAGGCTCCAGTTCTAAATTCCACAGCAGGATGGTATTACTAAAAGTCTTGGGTTTTTTTTAAAGTGGTTTTCATTCAGAGAAATAACAAAGACATTACAGCTCCAAAAAGAATCACTCTCTCCCACCACTACACTGCAGCTACTTGTAGGGGGAATATGATAGCAGTTTAATAGCAGATGAATCTGAACCCAACCACTAAAAATTAAGAAGTGTTTGGGTAGACAGAATATCATTCCCTAACCAAAATTTGGCCATGACAAAGATGGCTACACCAATTCTTTGAGAAGTGACCTGAGGTCACAACTATAAGGTCCAAGGTGTTTTAGGGTACCTATTAAGAATCTCTAGGTGATAAAAAAGGTAACAAACACAACAAAGATGTTTAATAAAAAGACACCTGTTAGTAGGACACTGAAACACTGGATTCGGTAATGAATAAGAAGGAAAAAAAAGTATTCCCTTACTAAATTACCAATATCACTTCCTGCAGAACCCTATTTAATCTGTTTAAGTTCATATACCATACACCACCACAGTATCCAAGAACTTTCTAGCAGAGCATTATCCTTATTATAAAGAATTGTGTGTCAGAAGAGCAGTTTAGCCACAGTCTTCATCCAGGAATGAAGAGTTCCTCTTAAAGATCCTGGCCTGAGGTCACTGAGATAAGGACTAGGAACCTGAGAGGCTCAAAATTCAGTGAAAAAGCCAGCAAAGAGTGGAGCACAGGTCTTATGTGCTTGTGATAGATAGTGTTACTGAGGAAACATGTTTTGGCACTAGCTGGAGTTTTCTAAGCAATGAAGGCTTCATGCCCAGGTATCTCAGATTGCTATAATCCAGCCAAGAAGTGATGAAGGCGCAAACAACTGAGGCCAGGTCATCATCCTCCTGTATAGGACAGTCTCTTAGCCAAAACATTACTCGCAGATGCTGCTATGTTGAAGCCTGGCATCAGCAAGGAATCCAAGAGTTCTCCCAAACTACAGACTGTGTGTACCTTCAACTGTAGGAGGCTGCACCATGGCTTTAGGACTTCAGAATGCTTTCCACTGCCTATCAGCATCACCCATCTCCCATATGTTCAACTTCAGGCAATTTTTCTTCACCTGATCTTTAATGTGATCTTGGTTGTGAGAGATTGGTCGGATGGGATAAAGCAAAAGTTTATCTGGATCACCTGCATATTACTGGCACTTGAGCCCATGGTACACAGCCATTTCACTTAGTGGAGGCATGTAGGTATTAGAAAAAAATTGGACAGTGGAATTGCAAAAGTAAGCAGTGGAGATGCAGTTTTTCATAGTTACTTGTTGCAGACATCCCTCTAGGAAGGGTTCAGATTCTTTCAGTACATAAATTTGATATCCTGATGCTTCTCCTCAAGGAAACAGCAGCAGCTCATGGTTAGCATCAAATGCTACAGAGAGGTCTGAGGGGATGAAAACAAGGACCTGCCTTCTATCCACTGACAGGAGATGTCATAAATCAGTTCTTCTCAAGAAGTTCCGGTTCGGATGTCCTTAGCTGAAATCAGACTGCGAGGTCTAAATGTTAGTTTCAGTGGATGAACTAGCTCTGCTCTGTGTGCACTCAAAAATGAGAGGCTGGACATAGTGGATGATAGCTGCTTAGAACAGATATATTCAGGATGGATTTCTTCATTGCTGGTTGAACTACTGCTTGTCTGACCATGGGTTTTCATGGAAGGTTTCCCCTCAAAGCATTCACCTGGTAAACTTGCATGAAGTCTGACAGAATCACAGCCTGAGGTGACAGAGTTGTAGGAAGTATCTTTCCCATTCTTCATGCTACCCCATTTGTATCAGAAACCTCTACCCATCATGAGAAATAAGATATTGTAAACTCCCAATAATTTGGTTTTTGGGACCTCATCCTGCAGACTTCAGGCAAAAATCCCCTCATCCCAGGAATCCACTCTCCCCCTCAGCAGATTTTAAAAGAAAATAGGTAGGGAA